CATATTCTGACTTTTTAAAGTTCATTTTAAATGTAACTTCCTGCATCTTTATGTTTTGTTTCTTGTCTTGTTATGAAAAGTGAAGCAAGAACGTGAGGAACTCTATTTCTTTCAAGATTAAATCGCTTAGCAACAGCATGCTCCAGCATCGGGTTGCATTTGTTTAAATTACTTCAATCAGGACTTAAAAATAGAAAACTTTGACTTTTGCTTTTTTGTTCACCAGATTTTTCCAGTGTATTCTCAGATGTGTGAGCTGCAGCTCATATTTCTTAGTTTATCATCATATCATTGTTGACACCTGGTAGCCGTATAAGTTCCTGCAGAATTGTTCCAACATAGCAAAAAAATAAATAAATTACTGTAACATTTATTTTAGTCCAAACAACAGGGCAAAGAAAGATTTTTAAAATCAAAATGCAACATTTATTTTGGTCATTTCAATTTGCACAATTCAGAAACACAGAAAATGCTTCACACTGTCAGAGTTTCCATTGAAAACATATCTGCACAATTTGACATTTTGAAAATAGATTTGCTTAATGAGAAAAATTGCAATTTCTCATTTTTTGATAAAAGGTTTGGAGTTAAAATGTGGTGGAGTTTTTTTTTTTTTTGTTTGCTTTTTGTTTTTTATTTTTTGCTTTACCAAAATTGGTGTATTTCGCAAAACTGCAATGGAAACAATTTTTGGGTATCACAACAGGATGTTACCACTAGTGGAAACCACAAAGAAGAAGGCAGGAAGTAGCAGAAAAATGCATGCTTTTACTGATTTATGAAAAAACGTATTCACCTTTGATTGTAATTGTGTTTCTTAGTTAATGGAAACACTGCAATTGCGAAATTATGGTTTTCCAACATTCGTGGAATGCTACCTGCATTTCTGCTGATTATATAAAATCAAATAAGCTTATTAGAAACATGTCAGTTTTGAAAATAAAACAACTTGTTTTTTCATCAAAAGTTTTGCCGGAAGCATGTGGTGGTTTTGTTGTCTATATAAAAATTGATTTATTTTGCAAAATTGCAATGGAAACATTTAATTTGCATCAAACGAGTCACACAATCACCAACCAGATGCTACCTTTAGCGCAAACCACAACAAAGAAGATGACAGGTAAGAGAATGATGACACGGCATGATTTACTGATTTATTGAGTGAACAAAATTATTCACATGTGACTTTAATTTCATTCCTTTTTCTATGTAAACGCTGCAATTGTGAGATTTTGTTTTTTCAACATGGCAGACTATTTAGACAACTTTGCACATGTTTGTAATGGAAACGCAGCTACTTGCAGTGAATGCAGAACAAAAACTGGCTGTGGGCGACATATTTAAGCGGTTAAAGCTCGTCTTTCTGTGCAGCGCAGACAGATAAACACACACAGAGTCACTGACGGATGCATGAACAGAATCCTGAGTTCTGGGGCTCCATTCGGATGTTTGTTTCAGCCGATGATCTGCTGACAGCAGAATAAATATGGCGGAAATGAGATACAGATCTGACACATCTTCTTGATCGCATTACTGCACACACACATCCAGACACACAGATTTCTACTGATGCAACAACAATGACAGAAAAAAAAAAGACCAAATCATCTTTTTCCCATGGAATTAGATCCAGTTTTGTGCAGTTCACCTGAACTTTACTGAAGCTGTTTGTGTTGAATTTATTCATTCTAATAAATGTGGGTGAAAATATCTGGCTGGAGATTTTATGGAAACATAATTGTAAAATGTACTTACTGTACTCCTACAAAATATGTAAATCTCAGACCTGAACGTGTAGAGACACAAAAGATGATTACAAAGCCGGTCTTCTATCACCTGGAGAATATTTCCAGGATTAAAGGACTAATGTCACTGCAAGACTCCTTAGTCACATTGGTTACTGCAACAGTAGCTGTGTCCCCATTGACCTTAAAAATGCACATTTTGGATTTATGAGAATAAATTTGCTTGATGGAAAAGCAGCAATTTCTAACACAATTGTATTTTTTGATTAAAAGAAAAAAGAATAAGTTAAAAGATAATTAAAAGAAAAAGTTGCGCTGAGACGAGGTGGATTTTTTTGGCTGCATCAACATTAGTGTATTTTGTAAAACTACAGTGGAAACACTTTTTTCACATCACAACAGCCACATAATCAACAACCGGATGTTGCTAGGTGACTGGCAGAGTTCCGGTGGGGTTGCTAGGTGACTGGCAGAGTTCCGGGGGGGTTGCTAGGTGACTGGCAGAGTTCCGGTAGGGTTGCTAGGTGACTGGTAAAGTTCTGGTAGGGTTGCTAGGTGACGGGTGGGGCTTGGTAAAGGGGCAGCGCCTGCTGATTTGTGACATTACATTCTGGAGGTTTTCAAAACAGTTTGTTTTCTAGACACCAAAAAATATTAATTTACTGCAAAACCCATTTGGCAGTAAAACAGTAGAAACCCAAATTAAAGTATAAAATTGTGTAAAATGTGAATTTTGCATAATACGCTTCTGCCGTTACACAACATTCATCTGAAGCAGAGGGAAAGCAGAATCTCACACACCTTCAACATACCTGCGAGGAAACACACATAACTGGCACCATTTCTGACTCACAGAGAGACTCTTCACCCAGACGCTGACATTTCTGGCTTTCCGCTTTACTGGCTGGCAGCTAAACCAACACAATCTGCAGGTTGAGCTGTTGGCGCCATGGTGGATAAAAAAAGAAGCAGGAGTGAATTTCTGCCCCCAAATTTTATTTTTTTTGTTTAATCTCAGAAATTTTCTAGTAAAAATAATAAAATTTATGAGTTTGAAAAGTCAAAAATGTTGCTAAAAGAAAATATGAGATTTTGAGATTGATTTCAGAAAATTTTACAAAAATACTTGGAAATTTCAGAGTTTGAAAAATCTAAAATGATCTTTAAAACAAACTCACAATTTTTCTAAGATTCATCTCAGAACCTTTCTAGAAACAACTAGGAATTATTTGAAGTAAAAATGTTTTGACTTTTGGAAATTCATTTTCGAAAGTCAAAAATTTGCAAGAAAAAAAAGGATTAATTTCAGAATCTTTTGGAAAAAACAAGAAAATTTCTGAGTTCCAAAAATTTTAATCTTGCTTGAAATACATTTCAGAATTTTTCTAGAAAGAATATGGCTACTTCTGTTTGAAAAGTAAAAAATGTGCTAGGAACACATACATTTTGAGGTTAAAAGATTTTCTGGAAAACATCTAGATTTTTTTTAGTTTAAAAAGTGGAAAATTTGTGAAAACTTTTAAAAACAAATTTCCAGAAAAAAAACACAAATGTGAAAAATCAAAAATTATCCAGCAAATATAAAATTTTCCAAACCCAGAAAGTTCTTTGTTCAAATTCAGAAATTTCCTTGTTTTTTCTGAAAAAAAAATCTGAGCTCTAACTTTAAAAAAAAATTTTCTTGAAAATATCCAATAGAGTTTTTCCTGGCAAATTTAGATCTTTTTCAAACTGACACATTTCTTTGTTTTTTCTGGAAAATTTCTGAGTTTTTGTAGCAAATTTAAACTTTTCAATCTCAGGAATTTCCTGGTTGTTTTTTCTGAGGTTTTTAGAGGAAAATGTAATTTTTTGTGAATGCAGTGGCCCAATACGCCATCCTGGTGCTGCAAGGTGCTGCAAAATCTGGTCAGATAGACATGCATGGGAGCATGAATATGTGTGTGTGTGTGTGTGTGTGTGTGTGTGTGTGTGTGTGTGTGTGTGTGTGTGTGTGTGTGTGTGTGTGCGTAGCACAGATGGTGAGGCTGTGAAAGCACCAGAGGTGCCTGAGCTCATTAGGAAGCAGGACCATGCTCCGGTGCAGAGCAGAGAGAAGCAGGGTGGGGGTGATGCAGAGCCGAGCCTGAAATGTTTCACCTCAGAGTCAAAGATGCGATGATTTTCCATCAGCCGCCTCTACATTTGCAAATCCTTCCTCTGCGTTCAGTCAGCAGCAGGTCCTCCCTCACATCTGTCGGGAGAAATAAGTGTTTAAAAGGTGAGAGGTTGATCTGAGGCTGCAGGCTGAGCTGTGTGGCCCACAGGCCGGACTCTGGCGCCACCTACCGGCCACAGCAGGGACTCCTTTGCTGCGTCCTGAAAGACAGGTTTTTAGAAAAAATGGCAAAATTTGAGGAGGAAGTTGAAGTTTTTTATCAAATGCAGGGTTGGGTAGTAATTAGTTACATTCACTAACTTTGAGTAATTTTATTATGAATTATCTTTCCTCTTACTTGAGTCAAACTTCTGAATTTTATTCACACTGAATGAAAAATAAAGATGTTTTAAACAAAAATGTACCTGACACACACCTGCAGTTTCTGTTAGTTTCATATTGAAAGAGTTGGATAAAATTTATTTTGCCTGATATTATTTTTTTGTTAAATTATCATTTTGATCCCTAAAACACCAAATGTTCCACTTACTTTTATATTTTGCTCCAAACCTTCATATATAATACTGAATTGAATAAAAAAGTTTGTTGCAGGGGATTTTATTGAGGAGTCAGAGTAATGAAAACTGAATTAAAAACATTATTTAGATGTTATTTATTTAGGATTTTCACTACTCAGTCCATTTTTAGTCTTCAGTTGCATGTTTTAACCTGTGCTACAATAACCTGCTGTTTTATTTTTCATATGGTCTAAATTCACACTTATTTTCCTGTTTTTGGAATTTTTTAACTATAGTTTGAATCTACGTTCTGCTGCTGGTGCACATGAATTTCCTCAATCTGTGATCATGAAGGATTTATTTATCTTAAATGTTATTTTGTTGGGAATAAGCCCACATTTCAGCTGCTACCTCAGCATCCTGCTTCACTCGGATCTTCAGAAAAGCTCTTTAATCTTCTTTCATCCATGTTATTGTTGGATATCAGTGAAGCAAATTTGGTTTTCATTCCTCCAGGATGAAATCACAACTTTAAGGAAATTCTGTTGGTCTGAATTCAAAACTGCAGGACAATAAAAACACCAAACACATTTTCTCCTCTTTAAGTTTCTTTAATTTCTTTACAGAGTTTTGTGGCCCAAATCAGTCCTCAAAGCTTTGGCTAAAAAACCCACAGTAAATCTGTTTTTTTTAGCGTATCTAAGGCTGTGAAATCCACCAGGAGTCGACAGAAACCGGACCAGAACGAGGAGATGATTCCCCGTTTCCCATGCTGCCGCCTCGTCCAGCTGCTGTGAGGGAAACTGTCTTTAAAGAGACAGTACGCAACTGTCTTTTTACATACTTAAACTGTTTAAACTGTTTTTACCTGTCTCTTTAAAGACAGTTACGAGATATGTAACCGTCTTTAAGAAATGTTTTCAAACTAATTATGGTTTTAGGCTGAGAACATGTGAAAAAGCTGATCTCTTTTCTCCCAGTACTAACTAGAAACAACCAATCAGAGCCAGGAGGCGGGTCTTGGCGCTGTCAATCACCTTCCATTGACAAATATTAATGTCCGCCTCTAGCACTTTTAGCAGCATAAATGATAAATTACGATGATTGACAGCGCTAAGCCCCGCCTCCAGGCTCTGATTGGTTGTTTTTGGTCATTTCTTCTCAGGGATGAGGTGGAGGAGATCAATCTTTTCAGAGATTATTGGTCTCATAAACATGAAAAAAAGCTTTTTTTAAAATAAAAGTTACATGCTGCAGCTTTAAGCGTTTATGTCTGAAGACATTTAAAGATGGAGGGAATCAGCAGAGAACGTCCTCCTCAGTTCTATTTTTCTTCTTCTTCTTCTTCCTCTTCCCTGAACCCTCTGCTGCGTCACAGTATGAAACGTCCAGCGGCTCACATTTCACAGAAACTGGTTCCACCTTAACTTCCACGCTGGGCTCCAGTTCCTCGTCCCCCTCCTCCCTGTCCTTCTTCTTCTTCTTCTTCTTCCTCTTCATCGTCTGGACCGCCGTCGCTTCATCCAGATTTTCATCAGATGGTTCCTCTTTCATCTGCAGCAACACTTCCACTTCTTCCGACTTTAACCGCTTCTGTTTCTTCTTCTTCTTTTTCCTCTTCCTGCCTTCGTCCTCGTCATCCTCATCCACTCGGCCTCCATCTTCTATGAACTGCTTCACCACCAGCGGCCGCAGCGTCGTCGTCGACGGCCCGAACGCGGCTCCGTCCGCCTCGTTCTCCGCCACGTAGGTGAGCTTTGGAGTCTTGCTGCCGAACGGGTGGAACCGCTGCTTGAGGCCGGCTGGGACGGCGGGCGCCGGGGCGGCCGGCACGACGTGTGGCGCCCGCCCGCCGCCCGCGTCCTTGTAGCTCTCGCAGATGTTCAGCAGCCTAGAGAAGGCCGGAGCGACGACGAAGCCGTCCGACGTCCGGCTGTCGCTGGTGAGCAGGTGAAGGTCAATGGGTCGGGACGACGCCAGGACGCTGTAGCGCTGCTGGACCGGTCCAACCGGAACCTTCAGGGTCCGGCGACCCGACAGGGGAACCTGGACGCCGCTGAAGCTGCAGGAAAAACAAGTGGAGAGTTGGAACACACTGTAAAAACACAAAATCTTAACACGTAATTTTAGTCTAATATCAAATACCCTGAAATACTTTTATGAAGATAACTAAATCTCTTAATTTTGATGAAAAAGTTGTAGTTAGTTGCACTGGTAGAGTAGAAGACATTTTCCCATGTTATAAGTGAAATAATCAGCATTCTGACTGATTTTTTTATGCAGACCTGGTGCAGTAATCAATGCAAACACAGAAACACATGGATGAGTTCCTGTAATGCTGAGACATTAGCCCTCCAATCCTGGAGATGTCCTCAGGTGATAGAAGGCCGGCTTCGTAACCGTCTCTATGTGTCTCTGAATGTTCAGGTCAGAGTTCATCCTGATCTCCAGTTTCCAGCTGTAGTAACTGAAGTTGTGCGTTTTCTCCAGATCTTTAGATAATAACTTCAGTTTTGTTTCCGTTCAGCTGGAGAACATTTTGGCACATCAACACATTTATCTGTTTTTAACTTCTGTTCACTGATTGGACGGTTCAATGGTCACCTGGTGACATCATAATGCAGAGCTGTGTATCACCTGTATATTTATAGTAACTATTTTAATTTCTTGACATAACCTGAGCTCAGAGCCGGCCCAAGGCATATGCGAGTTAAATGGCTGCTTAGGGCCCCTAAAACACGAAGTTATAATGAAGATTTTTAAATAACATTGAAAAATACAAATTAAATGCCATTACAAACGGAAAAATTAGTTCCATATTATTTTTATAGACGGTACACATATAACAGATTAAACTCTTCCTCCTGTCACATTTATTTTAAACTTCCTAACTTGTTCACTGTAAATTCAATGTTTTTCTGCTGCTGTTACTTTCAAATAATTAAAATAAGATGTCACACTTTCAAAATCCAAATTACTATTTTGTTGTTTGCTACTTCTGTAAGGTTAAAATCAACAGTCATTACAATGCCAGCATGATGTAAGCTAGGTACAAATGACGCTAAAAGTAGCAATAGAGTCGCTTTGGATCGATGAAGCATCTGGTGGTGACATGTTGGTATAAAGGGTTCCAAAAGTGACAATATGCTAAAAGCTTTGGGCTAGCTCTGCCTTAGCTAACAGCAGCATGTAGATAACAGGGGTCCCAGGATTGAACCTTGTGGAACGCCACATGTGATTAAACCAGTCAAGTTCTGGTCATCCATGTCTTTATCCTGGGAATCCAATAAATGTAGATGGACATTATGGGTGGAATTTATTCATTTGAAATGAAACCAATTGAGAAGATGACAAACAGGAAGGAAACTGAGGTTTATTTTAATAATGTCTTCATACAAATGAGGATTTAGAAAAAAAAAGACTTGCTGGACACAACGTCTTTGTGGACTGGATTGAACCAAGATCTCCTCACCAGCTGCTTTTGTTCTATAAAATCTCAAATTGGCCAGTAAAGTATGGCAGAAAAACTGACAATCATCCCTGACTGAGTTCTGAGAGGATTTTCAACCTCACGTTCCTGCTGAAATGGAACAACAGTGAGAGAAAACCGCGAGGACAAAGCTTAATTTCCATTTAAGTTCTTGTAAAGATCGGAATGCATGATAACAGACGCAAGGAGCACAAGCCGTACCCACCAGTGGGGGTCGAAGCTGGCAGGAGCTTTAATGAGCCACAACTCGTTCTCGTTGTTCCTCAGATTGTCTGCCAGCGTGCTGCTGCAGGGGACGTGGCAGAAAGACACAAAGTCCTGAGGACACTCCACCCGCGCGGTCTTCCTCGCTGCAGAAACAAACAAGCCATTCTTCATTAAATAAGAATTAGAAAGCGGAGGATCTGTCGGCTTAGCACTATGTGGGAAAACGCTTCCACGTGTTCTTGTTTTGTTTTTATTGGGATGTTTTGTGATGGACAAACACAAATAAAAATCTGAAAAGTGAGGGAATTGTATTTAATTATGGTGTCAAAATGCACAAAAGACACAAAATCTTACTGAGTATTTTTACTATAGTTTCTAGTGCAAATATTCTAGTTCACTTCTAATAACAAAAAACTAACTTATAAATAACTTCTCAGCAAGATGTAGTAGCTTAGTTTAAGTTAATAATTCCTCAATGTTGATGAAAAATCAGATTATTTCTAGGCCTGTCGCAATCAATCATTTAATCCCATGATAAATTAAAACGCCATCAATCGTTTCTACGATTTATTGTTTTTCTCTTTTTTTTCTTTTCCTACCAGAAACTGGATGGTAAAAATCTTCAGTTTGTTGCTTTGGTCTCAATTAGCCCTTATTTTGAAGACCAATTTTGTTTACAGAGACTTCATAAGTCATTTTATCTGTTGTTTTATTTATTTTGGATGATTAAAATGTCTTCTAGTTCCAGTGTTAAATGATCATTAGAATCTAATACCATTATACTGCTTGAAAGTGGTTTAAAAACAACAATATTATTGTTTACTGCAGTAACTTCTGGGACACTTTATCATTCACATAAAACATTGTGACAAGTCTATTTGTTTCACTTATAACATGGTGAAACAAATAGACTGGAGAGCTGGTACTTTTTTTTTTTTTATCAATATCAAGGAATTACTGACTTTAAAAAAAGTTACTTGTAAGTTAGTTTAGTTTTATTTCAAGTTTACTGAAATATTTGCACAAGAAACTAGACCAAAATACTTTTTTGCAGTGTACCAAAGTAATTTTTAGGATAAAGGGTGAAAGGTTTTGAAGTATTCACTTTAACAACAAATTAGTCTTGAAGGAAAGCTAAAATCTCATAATAAAACACTTCTTTTTAAGAACAAAGTCTACATAAAATGTATTTTGTTACAAAAAGACATGTTTTACTGCAAAAACACTAAATTTCACCAAATATTTTTGATCCTGTTTCCAGTTCAAACAACTGAATAAGGACAAACTTAAACGTAACTTTTTTGCAACATGTAAGAGCTAGTTTTAATTTAAGTCATTAATTTCTTAAAGATGATGAAAAAGTACAAGTGCCACTTGGTAAGACATGTATGGAACGCATTACCGCCATCTAGTGGCATGGAGTGGGTCTCAAACTGCATTATTTTATACATAAATCATCTATTTGTCTTTTGTTAAGTAACTTTGTTGATCAACAACAAGCATATACAAACTAGTTATCAAACTAGTTATCTCTAATGCCTATTGAAAGTGTAGTATACACGGTAACATTACGTTTTTGGTCAGAGACAACATTTCTTTTTGCACCAACTTAGCTTAAATTACATCCGTATGCTTACCGGGTTCCTCCTGCCGCTCTGTTGTTTCCGTGGCAACATTATCCGTTTCATCTTCGCTCGAAGACGAAGAAATGTCCTTCGGCATGTTTTATAGTTCAGAAATAACTGCCAACGATGTAACTCACTACGTATTTTAGCTCAACACACATGGCTCTGAGGTGGAACAGAGCATGAGTCGACACAAAGTGAACTCAGACGTGGAGTACTTCCGGGTCGCCGTGGATTGTAGTTCCACCTCCCGGTATGATGGTAGTGTCTGAGTTGGTAGCGCCGGTCAAAACAACTCAAGCTCCCACAATCCCCCTCGAACTATTACGTAACCTACCAGCGTCTGTCGGGGGAAAAACAGTTGACAGGAGCGAGAAGTAGGCCGAATAGGATAAACAAAGCAAATATATGAAAAAGAGCTTAGACGACTTTAATATTTGTCATTATTTTTCATGTTTAAAATGAGTAGCGCTTTTCTAAAGTTGTGTTGGGTGTGTTAAGGCGGAAAGTTTGTCGAAAAGAGGGCGTACACCTGTCGAACCGAAATAGGTTAACGAAGCTAACCTGCGTTAGCACGTTAGCGTGCTAGCTGGCTGTTTGAACCCGAGCAGGTGTGCCAGGTGGCCCGCCAGGCAGCCATGTCCTCCCCTTCGTCGTCGTCCAGGCGCCAGTGGTGCTACTTGTGCGACCTGCCGAAGATGCCGTGGACCGTGGTGTGGGACTTCAGCGAGGTGGTCTGCCGCGGTTGCGTTAACTACGAGGGGGCTAACCAGATCGAGTTCCTGATAGCAAGTGCCCGCCAGCTGAAGCGGAGTCACGGCATGCAGGACGGCAACGTGAGGTCGCCCGGCCCCTCTCCCAACAAACACGGCTCCTTAGCCAGAGCAGAGCCGGGGCCGGACGGCGGCAGGCAGCACGCCGAGCGCTTTGAGCGGGGAGGCAGAGGGGAAGGCGGCGGGACGACGATACGCGTGCCGCCCAACGGGCTCCACCGCGACGGACAGCCGCCCCAAGAGGTGAATCGCCAGAGCCCCAGTAGCAGCCGGAGACCCATGATCGGAGCCGCCATCCCGCCCAATCTGGTGTCTCAAAGCATTGCGGGAATGCCTGGGCTGCTAGCGAGCATGCCAGCGGGTCTGACCGCCAGGACAGCGCCGATGAGCAGCCCGATGATCTTCCCGGGGCCAGTGCTGGCCGAGATGAGCCGCAGACAGCTGGGGATCGGGATCTCCTCCTTCATCACCCCGGAGCTGGAGCGGGAGCTCATTTCCTCCCAGGCCAAGTCCCAGACTCAGACCCAGGCTGGCGGCAGCAAGAGCACAAGTCTGTCTTCTTCGTCTTTTTGCATGGCTGGAGGTGTGAGCCAGACGAGCCCGAAGCCCGCTTCGTCCCCGGCCAGGCAGCAACGGCCCCCGACGGCCCGGTCCGGAGCCGAGCCTCTGGGCTCCGCGGAGGCAGCCACGACTGCTGCGGCGTTACCCAACAACGGTGCCTCCGAGCTGGGATCGGCATCTGTCAGCAACACCCATCCGACCGGAAACACGCTGTCCTGCACGCTGTGCCACGAGCGGCTGGAGGACACACACTTTGTCCAGTGTCCATCAGTGCCTGGCCACAGGTTTGTTTTTTGGCGTTTATCTGGATTTACTGCGGCTTTTTTATTATTAGTGCTGCAGCTAACGATTAACAATTTAGTAATCGATACTTCTAGACAATTAATCGATACAAAAAGTGGCGCATAATAATAGAATGTTAGAAAGTAAAAAATGCAGGGAAACTCAATTCTGTTTTTAAATTAAGAAAATAAAAGAAACATTTCCAATTAAATAATAGAACTTGATTAATGGTATACATTTAAAATTGCAAATTAAGACATTTTTTTCTTTAAATAAGAAATAATTTTATTGATAAAATGGCATAATATAGCTTTCCTTTAGTGTGTGCTTGAACATTTATAGCTAAAGAATTGATTAATGAATTATTTCAATTGGTGCTGAAATCATGACTCCCATTATTCACAATTAACCTATTGAAATAATTATCAAATAATTTAGTAATTGATTAATCATTAAGTTCAATATATAAATTTAAAAACAGCTGTAATTAAGCCAATTATGTATTAATGTACATTTGCATTCTAGATAAAAAATAAAACAAAATCTGTAAAGATGTTTCAGCCAAAACTCCTGAAGTTGTTTTTGCTTCTCCTGGTTCAAATTCACTAGATAAATAAAATGCTTATTTTTTTTTTATTTTAAAAAAAGACTTAAATTATTTGCATTTTTGTTATTTTTATTTTATTATTTTTTCATTTCATTTTATTTTACTGAATTCCACAGCATAGTTACATGCTAAAGTTGTCAAAGTCAAGCTAGCATCCTTTGCTATTTGTTTCTTATTTAAAAACTTTTTCCTGACCTTTGTTATCTGTAGTGTTGGCAATTGGTAGCAAAGCTTCTTTTATATATCAGGCATACATTTAAGGTAAACTGTTAAAACCAATGCTAATCCTTGGCTAGCAGTAGCTTTTTTGCCCTCCAGAAGGAAGATGGAAATTATAACGGCTCAGTTGTACTCTTATAAATTCTTCCTGTCTCTCATTTCAAATGCAGGTTCTGCTTCCCCTGCACCAGAGTGTACATCCAGAGCCGGCGGGGCGACGGCGAGGTGTACTGCCCCAGCGGAGAGCGCTGCCCGCTGGATAACTCCCCCAACAGCCCACCCTGGGCCTTCATGCAGGGAGAGGTCTCTACCATCCTGGGCGCCGTTCCGGCTCCGGCGGGATCCGCGTCGGCAGCGGCATCTGGAGCCGGTTCGGGGTCGGGAAGTGCTCCGGTGTCTGGATCAGGGAGCGGAGCAGCTGGCGGCGCAAGTGGAGGTGGATCAGGAGGAGCAGGAGGAGGAGGAGGAGGAGGAGACGTCACTGTTAAGAAAGAGAGAGAGACGTGATGGTGACGTGGACCGAACAGCAGCAGCAGCAGGCGGGTTCATTTCACACCTAAAATCTCTGCAGAATAAAGCATTTAGGTTTCAGACCGACAGCTTCAACTACAGATGTTACATTTATTAAAGGAGTAGTAATGTGTAAAATTCACATTTTTTTGCCTTACATCATTATTCCCTCATCTAAAACATGCCATGGAGATTAAATCCTTTAATCTCTATGGCAATTATTCAGCTGTAAAACATCTGGGTGGCTCTAGCTCCGCCTTCAAGGACAAAGCTCCTCCCACACTTCGCTCCTTCAGACTAGCCAGCAGCAACTAGCAAACATCTGGAGGAGCTAATCATCTTCTGAGCGCATTATAGGAGCTACTTCTCATAGCAACGCTGCTAAAAATTTTGTTAAAGGCTTAATAGAGGAGCCATGTTGTGTCAACTTCCTGGAGGAATTATTTAAAGAGACAGAGGTCCAATTCATCAACCTGTATTTTGCTTCTAAACTGCAGTACGACTGCTGCCTTTTCACATGTCGCCAAAGCCGCTACATTTGTTGCTTTTTTTTCTTTCAGAAAAAAGTTGCTAAAGAGGTTTTAAAATTTGCAAAATATATTGACGAAGTCGCTAAATTGGCAACAGTGGTTACTGTTAACCATGCAAATGGAAATGTGATAATATTGCTGAATAAAATTGGTTTCACCTGTAATTATTGTTGTTTTTATGCCATAATTACGGTTTTCTTTTTATTTCTACAGATTTGGAATCAGTATAAGAGATGTCTACACTGGACTGCTGAGGGACCCAGAAAAGAAACACAACAACCAACAAAACCAGAAATCCTCCACTACACAGGTTCCTACTCCTCTAACTTCAGTTTGAACAGTTCAGAAGTTTCTGTTTTTCTCCATAATTTCCCTTTAAAGATCAATTTTCTCACTTGAAAAGGACTTGATATATTAGTTGTCCTCATTTAAAACGAATGAAATTACATTTCTACTGACCGAGTCGACTCTCCAGCACAGGTCAAACGACCCAATCTAAACATTATAACATTATAATTGAGTTTTTGCTGCATCCTCAGTGATGCAAAGGTGCTAAACGTCACATTAGAAAAGCACCACAGCATGTTGATTTATGTCTCCATAGCCTCAAACATAACAATCCAAGTGCTTGGCTTTGTTTCTGTTTGATAAACTCAAGTAAAAAAGGTTAACCTGCACTGGCTCAGTGACTGAGATCACACCAACACACCAGATTTATAGTTGCTCTGTGGCCGAAAATCAATTAATTCAGTAATGTTTAGGAGACGAAAGTCAGATAAAACTCTTCGCCTTCTAACCTGACCGTCTTTCTTCTGTACACAACTGCATATTGTTTATTTTTCTGAATTTTATAACTGATCGTCCCCTAGAAACCAAAAGGACTCGACAGAAACACAACAAAGCTAACAATAATTGTGCATTGTAGAGAAATTTAGCAATTTTCATACTTTTGCAGTAGAAAACAGGAAAGAAAAATGGATCAAGCTTAACGTTTTAATCTTTAATTGAACTCAAATGATAAAAACGTGAAAACAAATTATTCTTACTGTGTGGAAGTTGGAAGAAACAACTGTTTCTGAATTAATTTTTAATATTTGTTTCAGAAACGAGCCTAAGATGCTAACATGTCGCTACTCACGTAGGGGAAGTTTAATATTTTTCTTAATCTCTTGAGCAAAACGAAGTCAAACGCTAATTAAAACGCCAACAATTCACATTTTCCCTCAACTGTAATTAAACAGAAATACTTTTGCAACAAGAGGCTCAAAATGTTCTTTTCTGATCAGTTAGCGATCCAGAAATACCACCTGATCGTGCTGACAACACTCTTCAGTGTGGAAGTTATTATTGCAGGAAGCACAGAGAACTGGACTTGGTATTTTGTTTTCTGCCTTCAAAACATTTCATTGAACTGAAGGAGAAGCAGACTGTCCAGAGGCTGAATTAATAAGTTATCAAACAGTTTGATTATATTGGAGCGAAGTTGCTCTGTTTCACACTTTAAAACTGCCTTTTGCCTGAGTTTAAAGGGTTGGGAGCCTTTTGGAAACCTAACTAGGCGTTTTGTAGGGAATCTGACATGCTAATAGCTAAAGTAAAGATAATTTAAAATGGCAGAAATCAAATGAGTAAAACACTGTTTTACAGTGACCTCTCACTCCTGCACGCTGTTGGATGTTACCTTTGCTACAGGTTTTAACGCTGTTAACTGAAGTCGGTATAATTGGAGCCCCTTGCAATAAATTGGCTGAGAAATCTGAAACGGATGCCATATTGGGAGGTAACAGGCCACGACATTTTTGTTCTTATTTACTTTAGGCCAGCTATACGTTAGCACTCTGCTGAGAAACCCTGAGTGAAGTCCCTCCCTCCAAACCTTCTTGGTGTCAAACATTTGTGCAGCAAAAATTTTCATTGGTGCTGCTATTTTTTTAGATAATAAGATAAAAGTTTCTTGAGGTCATCATTAATATCTTCAAAGCAAAAGGAGCACAAACAAAACATTTTACTAAGCTTTTTACACTATTTGTTTGTGTAAATGTAGTGAATTATGGCAGCACAAACAAGACATTTTTGCTACACAAAGGCAGCACAAAAATGTAACATTTTGTGGTTGACCTTTTGACCTTTAAGCAGCACAAATAAAAAGGTTTGCTGCATAAACGTTACACTCTAATTTTGCTATTGTTTAAAAAAGTTAGGTGGTGGCTGGTTGACCTTTCACAATCTGGAAATATTTTTTAATATCCTTAAAATGTCAGCGGCACAAACTAAAATCTTTGCTTCACAACATAGCTGAGTTGATTGGCAACAAATTTGTTTGATTTGTAAATGTAATATCTTTATTACATAGCAGCACAAATTAAAATTTTTACCCCACAAACATTTGACACAAATTTTGTTATATTTGGGTCATTGATATTTTCTAAACAAAGGCAGGACAAACAAAATTTTTGCTGCACAAATTAGTTGATTAACATAATTTTTTAAAAAGAATTTGCGGCAGCTGTTTGACCTTTTGTGACCTCTGAAAACATTTGTTAATTTCTTTAAGATGATAGCGGCACAAACAGAACTTTGTTGCTGCGCAGAGGTTTTACACCAGTTTTGTTAAATTTGAAGTCAAGAAACTGACGCCATGTTGGCAGGTAACCAGCCGCCACGTTTTCCCAGTCTTTATTTCCTTTACGGCAGCTTCACGTGACTCTTGGTGAAACCGAAAAAGAAAAACGTTAGCGCCATAGCTGAAAGAAATTGTGAAACTGGCGCCATGTGAGCAGGTGACAGGCCACCACATTTCTCTCTGCTTTTTGTTTTTTTCCTTTACGCCAGCTTTACGTGACTCTTGGTGAAACCGAAAAACGGAGAACGTTGGTGCGTCAAACTCGACCTTAACGTTGCTTTACGTTCACATCCAGCCCAGCCTACGCTTTACCCCGAATGTATATTTTAAGATATCTATTGATAGGCCTAGGATTATATTTTATACTAGAATGTTAAATGTTATATACTGTAAAAATCTGTTATAGTATGTATGTGCAATCCCTTAGTCTTAGTATATGCAACAGTTTGAAATATATTATGAAATATAATTGCGTATCTTTTTTTTTACTTTTATTTTTTAAGGGAGAATCCACCTGAAAAATATTATTCATAAAGTTTTGTTTCCCCACATATGATGAATGTATTTGTTCATTGGCCAGATTTTATTTTATGAATTAAAATGTTTGATGAAACTAAAGTGGGCGGGGCCAACATTCGAACTGAGTTTGTGTTTTGGGTCGATTCTCCCTTTATGTGCACGACGCACGCACAAACCAAAGGTCATGTTCAGCCCAGCTTCATGTTTCTGGATGTAACTGTTGAATAAAAATTATATTTAGTTGTTGGTTGAACTGGATTCCCTTGCGATGGAGTGTTGGACTCATTTTAGATGACAGAGAAACAATAAATCTAGGTAAAAATTTATGTATTTACAAGAAAAATTATCAGTAATAAATGCTTATTTTTCATGACTTAAGTAAAGTTTCAAATTTATAATATAACTAAAATGACAGTCATAAATTTGACCATAAATGCCACTTTAGATGAAAGGAAAATATTTTTCAATAAAAAAAGATAATTTTTTGATTAATGTCATGTGTTTAACAGACAAAAGTGTTGAAAAATTATAAATTTGCATAAAAAATACAGAGTTGTCATTTCAAGACATAAATTTACAATATTAAAACTAAGATGTTCTATGACAGATAGTCATACATTTTTGACCAAAATCTTCTCAAACAGAAGTTGTAGATTTTAGAATATCACAAAATTATTCCAGCAAAATTTCTAGATCAGTAACACATAAGATTTTTTTGATTAAAAAGTCATAAATTTGCAAGAAAAAATGCTAATTTTTCATAATTTAAAACCATAAATCTGTGACATTAAAACTTAAGAACAAAAATGACCAAAATCCTCTTGAGTTGAAGTGGTAAGTTTAGAATATCCACATCTGGATCCACATCTGTTTTAATGTAAGCTATGGATCTGGGCTCTTTTCCTGGATCCAGAAGAAACACCAGAGTCAGAGAGGAACATGGCTGCATCGAGTCTGGATGCAGGAAATGTTTCTGTTCAAGGAAAAGGTGGAAAATATTGAAATGCTTTCATAAATTTAAGGGGTTCTTTCATCTGAATTTCTGAATTTTCCAATGTTAGACAAAATGTCAGCTTTAACATTGTAAGTATGGAAAATATTAAACTTCAGATAGTTTTTTTTTAAAATATAAATTCAGAGTTTTTATTTGTTGAGATTTCTGAATGTTTTTAAATCCTTGCTTTAATATTGTAAATTTAAGCTTTCGGTCATGGAAAAGTATCATTTTTGCCGTGTGACTTTAACATTAGAGACTTTTTTTTTCTTGTAAATGCGTGAAATTTGACAAATTTATATTTTTTATTAAGTTCAAACTAGAACAGCCTTAATACTCTCATAGGATTCAAGCGGATGCTTTTCTTCAGTTTTTATCTCTCCTGTTATGTAATGGGATATAATAATTAATCGTGTTCAACATGTAATATCCCTCAGATTGGCTGTTTTGGGAGAAATGTCTTTAGAGAAATTGATATCAAGTACAATATGCACTGATTCGTAATGCAATCCCTCGGTAAGTGCCTTTTTAAAACCGTTTACCATCTGTTTATTGTGTGGGAACCTCAGGGGAAGCAGGAGTGCAATGGACTCTTTGTGATATTGTTGGAAAAACCTGAATCAGTTTCCCTCCAAACGCCATCACAACGCTTTTCCTTTTTATCTGAAGCTTTTGTAAAGTCAGCTGGCATTTTGTTTTGCAGTTTCGTCCCCCTTTGTGTTTGGAGTTTGTTTTTATCAATGTTCTTGTTTTTGTAGAGCTTTTGGTTTTACTGCAACTTCATGTACAAAATAGAAACCATCAATAAACTGGATGGAAACTTGTATGTTTGTCTTTGTATTTTTGACATTTAGACATCTAAGGATTTCATTATTGGGAATAAATAAATGTTACATGTAGAGAAACACTTGAGCTTTGTTTTAGCTAACAGCTAAAAGCCACATTAGCTAAGCTAATTTTGCTTGTTCAGTAAATATCACTTATTTATTTTAGTATTACACAGATGGGTCGAGTACTCGAAAACTAATTGGTTAATAGTTGTAATTCTATTGTTCATAAATTAGATGGAATGCTAGTTCTAAGCTTGTTTATTGTTGCCATGGCAGCTGCCTGCCAAGATGGCTGCCGGTTACAAAGGGCCTAGTTTAGACAACTGATGATAAGAGACCATTGGAGCTAAACGGCTTCTGCAGTTTTCCATGGCGGCCATATTTGCTCATGAACTTTGTTGTTTGAAAGCTCAGAGCAGTAAATACATTTTTAGGCAACTAAGAGAACATTTTGGAAATTTGTAAATATGAAATAAATAATAAATAGAGAAAACTACAGATCATAAGATAGCCAAAAGTTTAATATTTTTTTCTTGCAAATGAATTTCAATCGCTAAAGCTACAAGGTTCAATATTAGCCTGTTTATTTAAAACTGTACGACATTTACATATAACAGCATAATGGAGGTGCACTGCTCCTGGAGACACTGCAATACCAGGACAATGAGTGAACTGGAGAAGGCAAGCCTCTACTCCAGCTCCTTGTTCCAAAACCCAATTTAATATTTGGTCCCCATGTCGAGGACTATCAGATATTAAACTGATAAGAACAGAAACTTACACTTGATCTGAGCCAAAAGGCCGAGAAGCGATGCCTCCTGACTGGGGGAGAAACCATTTCTTCCAGTCCGAGCTCAGTTTAACTCGCGGTTCGGAAACTTTTAAACTAATTTAAAGCTTCAGCAGGAACAGGAACTTTATTTTACGATGACCCGGTAATGTTAGTGTTAGTATGTCGCGGGATATTAAACTCAATCAGGCAAATAAAGGAAAATATCCGGGTTTACGTGAAACCACGTGGTACGCTTTCGTCCAATAGGAAGCGGAGAAGTGAATACGAATAGAAATATCCATGTTATGGGACTTTAACTCATTGACACATAAAGAGTAACTCAGTTTAGTTGTCATTAAATGTTTTTAACAAACATTTATCTTTTTTAATATTTTAATTAAAATTAACTTTTTCTGCTGCTGTAAAATGGATTTTTAATCTCAACTGGATTTTTCTGTGAAATAAATTAATTATTTCAATTCGACTAACTTGGATTTCAGTAACTCTGAGTTTATTGTCTAAATCAGGATGGGTCCTGCAGACCCGGCATCCTGCAGGTCCTTCTCAGGTGCGTTAAACCTGGATCCACAGATCTAAAACATGCAGGATGCCTTTGGGCCCCACTGGCTTCAATCCATCTTAGATTTTGGTGAATTTTACAAATGTCTTGTATTTGCCACAAGATGGCGCTATACATCAATTAGTGCCTGGAGGAGCGGCTGCAACCCTAACTAATCTCTTTCAGAGCCTCTTTAGAAGCTTGGTGCATATTAATCCGCCTGAATGCTGATCTGGTTCTGGTTCTGGTTCGTTTCCTCCATTAGCGTCAGCAGCTCATTACTGCGATTGTTAAGCCAATTGGAGAGGTGATAATGGACGGCATGGAGCCCCTATTGACATGAAGAACAACCCGCTGAGACACGAAGCCAAAGGAAATATAGAGGAGTTGCATAGAAACTGAGACATTTCAATAAAAACAACAAAAAAAAATACTTAATGGCATAGCGACCATAAGTTTTAAGTCGTTAAATTTTGACGATTTATAGCAAATAAGCCGCTATGAAAATGCTTAAAATTTATAAACATTAAAAGTGAAGATAAAATCTTACCAAGTCGTTTGAGTCTAGTTTTTAGCAAATTACTTAAAGCGCAAGAAGTAAAACAAAACTGACTTTCAAGTAACTTTTCCTCTTGTTCTAAGTCAATAATTTCTTAATCTAGTGTTTTAAAGCGCTAACTTCCGCTGGCAGATTATTTCATGAATAATCTGCCAGCGGAACTGGAGCTGGGTTGCTAGGTAACGGGCTGGGCTTGCCCGGGGTTGCTAGGTAACGTCCGTTGATTGTGAAATGAGTTGAATGATCAATTAGAACTTTCTGATCAATATTAAGGAATCATCAGATCACTTGCTGATAATCTGGTTTTCAGATCGTTTTGTCTCATTTCGAGATACGGAAATCAAGGTTTAGAGTAAAATGTTTTATTTTTCACATATTTCACTCTGTAATTTGGTTCTAATCCCAGTTGGAACCGGCCATAGAAGCAAACCGGTTTTTACTCGTAAGAGTCTCATTTTAAACACGTTTAAATCGACAGATTGTCAGATCAATCCGTTTGGTTCCCGACAAAACGTCGGTACGAAACAACCCGACGGCAGGAGGTGCAAAATGGCGACTGAGAGAAGCGACCAGAATGGAGTTAAATGGTGCGTGGACGCGTTTCTTTTCCACCGGCTGTCACGGTGCGGTTTGCAGGAGTCTCACACTTTGCGCCTCCATCCAGATCGTCAAATATCCCGCAGATAAACAGATTTCACTGCCTGGTAAATATTTGCCCACACAATTAAAACATCAACGACTGATGTCAGAAACAAAAGATGATCCACTCGCTGTGGGATGGTGCGTAAAAAGAACGAACACGCTCCAACTTTCTCAGCTGATGTGCGTATTGGACTTCTTCTTCTTCTCCTCTTCCATTTTTGCTGCGTTTTGTTCCGCAGCTGCAGCTGCAGCAGGGAGGCGGATATGAAGGAAAGCCCTGCGTAACGCACAGACTCGGAATACACATCAGGCCTGGGAGCAGACGGAGGCCCGTGAATGTCAATGCCTCGGCCTTAATGGGGACTGAATGGAGATGGCGCTGGTGCGCATGCGGGAGGCCAACGGGATTAGCGCGTGAGGGGAAAAAAATCAGCATAACCAAAAACTCTGGGGAAGATTTTTATGATCGGGTCTCATAAAGAGAAAAGACGCGTGCCAGGTGGAAATAGGAGAATATTGGGGTGTTTTTGGCTTTTATTCCACTTCATAAGACTGAATCAGAACAACATAATATACCTGAGGCAAAAAAAAAAAAACTAAATCTATACTGAAGAGTAACAACTCCAACAGTTTTACTCAATTAAAAGTAGAGAAATTCCTCAAGTTAGAGTAAAACTGGTGAAATGATCAATAGTTTAATACATCATCAGCAGGACCAAAATGTAAAGTTAAGTGGAAATTTCAGTATATTAAGGACAAAAATTACAACAATTCTAAAATTATAAAATCAGGCAAAAGAAAATGTTTCCAAATCAGTTAAAAAAAAGAAACTTTATCAGAATCTGCAGATGTGAGTCTGTCTGGTTAAAACATGTTTGTTTTTCATTCAGTGGGAAGAAAATCCACAAATTTACTCAAGTAAGAGCAGAAATACTTCAGAGTAATATTAGTTAATAAAAATGTAAGTGATTAGTCCTCAGCTCTGCAAACAGGCAATAATTCACTTTATGTATCAGTCGGTGAACTTTTAGTTTTGAGGTTTCTTCTGTAACAGAAGGTTCCCCTGCTGACATCTGGCCCCGCCGCGCGGCCGCTGCAGCCGCCGGGCCAATAAACAGCACGCCAGGGGGCCACATCGGCCTTTACGCGCGGCCCTTCCTGGATCCCGACGCGGCGTTAGGGTCGGGGCGGAACCTGCAGGCGGCTTTTATAAGCGCAGGAGGAGACGCGCAGTTCCTCACTGTTTGCGCGCTGCGCCTCCGTCCTATCCAGAGCTGCGTCCCAACCGGCTCCTCGGCGGGAAGCGAAGACAAACGGCCTCGAAGAAGAACCCAGCGTCCCCCTGTCATTAATTAACACGATTCTGAAACAATGGATGAGTGAAAAAAAAATCAGAAACATCCAGTGAATTCCTCAGAGGAACGTCGCCGACGCACCGAGGAAACTTTCTGCCCGGATTTTCCGCCTGCTGAGGATTGTATTTTTCTTTTCTTTTTTAAAAAATATATTTCTCCCTTTTTTTAAAAAAAAAAACATAAACGACAGTTTTAGACATTTTTCTGCTTTCTGAAGACTTGTGTTGGGGATGTTGAGCTCCGTGAAGATGGAAGCGCACGATTTACCAGAGTGGAATACCTTTTACAGCGAGCCCAGCGAGGTAACAACATGGACTCACATTTTAACCGCACACATCAATTATTTTTTGACTTTATTGTTATTTTTCGTTTTTATAAAACGTGGAGCCTTTTTGGGCAGCAGATCTTGAACATTTGGTTCGACTAAAAAAAGCATTCGGCTTTAATAAAAAAAAATACTTGCGTGTAAAAAAAAAAACTAAATTGAATGTGTTCTAAATTATGCTTTAACAACATTACTTCAGATGAAAGTCAAGATAAATGTCTTAAACGGTAAAAATGTATTCTAATATCTCCATAAAAATAATGAACCTGCTTTTAGAAACGTCGGAGATGTTTTTAACTTCTGATTTAAGGTCAAATGTTTCATTTGGAGCAAACATTTGCGCTTCAATAGCGCCTTGTTTTGCGTTTCCGATGCGGCTGAAAGGTCGCGACCGTCCAGGTGTTAATGACGCATCTCTCCTCTCTTCCCCGCTAATTTAATTACTGCTAATCCCATCAGCAGCTTGATGAAATTACCAAGAAAGAAAGAACCTGCTAATATTTAACCAATAATCGGTAAGCGGGGCTGCGATAGCCGCGGCAGATTTACGCACTTTCCAGAAATACCGGCAGCTTCCATTAAAGCAACCAGAGCCACCTGTTTAAGTTTAGTCTGCTGTGTTTTTGTTATATTTTGGGGTGTTTTTGGTTTTCTCTGTATTTGATTTGTTTTTCCATGGCGACAGAGGAGGAGGCACCATGACGCGTCTTTTTACGCATTTTCAGGTTAACACGGCGGTGTGAAATCCAAGCACTGAGAGACTCATTGTGCTTTGATAAGAGAGACTTTTAGGTTTCAAATCGCCGCTTCTATCCAGTTTGCTTCTGATTCGTGTGAAAATCTTGAGTTTTAGACTCATTTATACGTAAAATCAAATTTAACCAAACAGCAAATCAAGTTTATTTGTGTAATTTCAACAAAAAAGGCAGGACAAAGTGAATAAACACTTATAAAAATTCGAAATACTACATTTTATTGATTGCCATCATCAAAACACATCGAATGTTATGTTTTAGAAGCAACTCCAAACAGGTGGGGTTGAAAGAAAGTCAGTGTTTCGGCTGGTTTGCAGTTTTCTGTTTTTATGGAAGCAAAATTGTCAGATTTGCTTTGAAAAAATGTGAAAATATTGATAATTTTAGGTCATTTTATAAATATAACCAACGACAAGGCACTGCTTCAAATCATAAAAACCACATTAAGTCATAAAAACAAGAATGAGTCACCAGTTTAGAAACCAGTAACAAACGTTACATATTCCTGTTATTATGGTTTAAAAATAAACAGGTGGGTTTTAAAGGAAGTCAGTGTTTCGGCAGGTTTGCAGTTATATGAACATTTGAAGCAAACTTTTCACACTTGCTTCTGACAAGTGTGAAAATATTGATAATTTTTAGATGATTTTCTGAACAAAACCATCAGTTCAAATTGCTTTTCATCATAAAAACACAAAAATGAAAAGTCATATAAAGTAACAAACACCAGTTGTCGATTGCCATCATTGACTATTTTTGTCCAGTTCGTTTGTTTTCGGCTGTTTTGCAGTTTTCAGGAAGTTTGAGCGTTTTATGGAAGCAAAATGTTCACATTTGCTTCCAATAAATGTGAAAATCTGGATCATTTTAGGTAATTTTTATAAATAATTCCAGCAGTGTAAAGTTCAAAGTGCTTTACATCATGAAAAACGCAACAATAAACTGTCACCAACTGAGAAACGAGTGACAAATGTTACGTATTGTCGATTACCATCATTGATTATGTTGACCAGTATTTTAGTTAGCAACCCAAACAGTCCATTTGGGTTGGATTTGTTGGTGAAAACCGTCTTTGGATGAACTTTTTGACGCTAACTGGATGTTTCCCATATTCAGATGTATTCCTCTCCCAGCACCATGAACCCCGGGTTGGGCTCCATGAGCTCCATGAGCTCCATGAGCTACATCAACCTGAACCCGGCCACGGCCTCCCCGGCGGGCATGAACATGGCGTACCCCAGCTCCAGCCTCAGCAGCTCCTCCCTGGCCTCCATGGGAACCGGGCCCAGTCACATGTCTCTGTCCCCGGTGGCGTCCTCCCTGTCCTCCAGCGGCCTCACCCCGCTGGGCTCCACCGCCCCGGCCTCCCTGGGCTCCCTGTCCCACTACCAAAACATGAGCCAGTCCATGAGCCAGCTGGGGTATTCCTCCGCCGGCTCCCTAAGCCGGGCCGGCCCCAAGGAGATCCCGCCGAAGCCGTACCGGCGCTCCCTGACGCACGCCAAGCCGCCATACTCCTACATCTCCCTCATCACCATGGCGATCCAGCAAAGCAGCAGCAAGATGCTCACCCTCAATGAGATCTACCAGTGGATCATGGACTTGTTCCCCTACTATCGCGAGAACCAGCAGCGCTGGCAGAACTCCATCCGCCACTCGCTGTCCTTCAACGACTGCTTCGTGAAGGTGGCGCGCTCGCCGGACAAGCCGGGCAAAGGCTCCTACTGGACTCTGCACCCGCAGTCCGGCAACATGTTCGAGAACGGCTGCTACCTGCGGCGCCAGAAGCGCTTCAAGATCGAGGACAAGGCGGCCAAGAAGGGAGCCAAGAACCAGGAGGGGGCGTCGGGGAAGGGAGACCGCCTGGGGGAGGATCGGAGTCCGACCGGCGGCTCGGAGGGAGCGGAGTCCGCCCACTCGGACAACTCCCACCCCAGCTCCTCCGACGACCAGCCACACCAGAGAAACACCCTGGTTTCCCTGGACTGCCCCCCGCTGTCCTCCTCTCACCTCCACAGCCCGCCGGCCTCCTCCGCCTCCTCCTCCATGTCCCTCTCTGGATCCTCCCCCACCTCCAACTCTCTCCTCCACTCCCAAACTTTGGCCGGCGGCTCCCACCTGCTGCCCAGCGCCATGCAGCCGCACATGGACCTACAAAGCGACCCGCTCAAGTCGTTGGATCCCCACTACAACTTCAACCACCCGTTCTCCATCACCAACCTCATGTCCAACGAACAGAAGATGGACCTCAAGTCCTACCAGGACCAGTTCATGGCCTACAACAGCTACGCCAGCAGCTCGCCGGTGGGAGTCAAGCAGATCTATGACAGCTCCAGCCCGGCCGCCATGGACTCCGGAGCGTACTACCAAACGCTGTGCAGCCGCTCGGTGCTCAACGCCTCCTAATAAGGACAAACACACACACATATTCACGCACACACAGACACACACACACACACCTTTCTGCAAGCGGTGAACCAAGATGGAGGCCTCTCTTTCTAAAATGGACACCGAAGCTCTTCGAGGAACTGGAAACAAACTGTTTGCTTTTCTCAAAGAAGGAAACTATGTAGTTACACGAGAAGCGATGAAGAAGACGCAGCTAACTACTTTCATTATAGGCAGAGTTATTCCAACACCATTTGTGGCGCCCGCTCTAAGTGGCACCCCTACACTGCAAAAACACAAAATCTTACTACCTACTGCTTAGTTGTTGTTTTTTTTCTAGTTTATAGTGCAAATATGTAAGTACACCTGAAATAAGACAAAACTAACTCACAAATAAATCTTAAGCAAGAAATAGGAGCTTAATTCAGTCAACAATTTTTTTAAATATTTAGGATAAAGTTCCACTGCATCGTTACCTAGCAAACCCAGTCAAACCCAGTTCGAGCTCCGGTTCATTTTACTTATTACATGGGATTATTTCACTCTTTGTAAGTGAAATAATCTGCCAGTTGAACTCGAACCGCGTTGCCAGGTAATCTTCTGCTTCTTCATAACATGAAGGAATTGCTGAATTAAAACAAGCGCCTACATCTTGCTGAAAAGTTACTTTTGTCTTGTTTCAAGTGTAATAAGATATTTGCGCTCTGACTCGGAGCTAAAATACCTGATGAGATTTTGTGTTTTTGCGTCAGATTCTGTCTCTGCAGGGCGAAAATTAAACCTGTACGCAGTGTAAATAAAGGGAACATGCAGGGGATGAGAGGATGAGATTTGTGTCTATTTATGAAGGGAATAAATTTTAATATATCTTGCACTGAAAAAAGAAAACGGGTAATCCAACTTTTAAAAAATGAGTTAAATTGCTAGAAGTAATCAAATTAAGTTTATCCAAGTAAATATATGAAGTTCATTAAGTTGTCAGATGTAAATAAAGTAAACTTATTTCGATGTGAAACAAATTAACTCAGTTTTTTTGAGCTGGAGCTCCGTTCTCTTGTTTTTCAGTGAAGTCGCGTCGGTTACAACCCAAAGCTCAATTTTCAGGTTACTGCTTCAGTAATTTCAGCGTTACAGCAATTTGTTTTGCAAACCTTACAGTCCTGATAGAATAACACAAAGCAACTGTGGTAAGAAAAAGAAATAGACTTAACAGTGTACGAAAAGTTGTTTTCATGGCCCAAGATGTTCATGTTGTTCCGTAAATATGGCAGCGAACAGACAGTTACCGAAAAACGGAGGAAGAGATGCACTAAGAGGAGGATTTACATACAGTACTTTGCACTCTGGAGCTCCCACAGGCCAGGTGAGCTGATAGCGCGTGTGTTGGCGTGTGTGTTGGCGTGTGTGCATGTGTGTGTGTGTGTGTTACATCAACGCCCTCCTTGTGTCGGAACGGGGGCTGGAGGTGTCAAGTGACCCTCCAACGTCCAAAAAGTGCCTTTTCTTCAAACGCCTGCTGATCTGATAAGAGATCGATCTGCTGAAGGATTTTTTTGTTTGTTTGTTTTTTTTGCAGAAGTTTCAGGTCACATGATGTTTTAGTTTCAAACAGAAATGTCTTTTATTTAAGCTATGTTGCTTTACGAACTCTGAAAGTGTGCTGATATAATATATATTTTGTTTTTTTGTTCTGTTTTTGTTTCTGTTGTTGGTGGTTTTACATGTGATTAAAATGATTCATTTTTCTTATTAAAAAAGGCAAAAATGTGGGGAAGAAATTGTGCTTTTTTCATTTCTCTTTTAAAATGAAAACAGGATTTCTTTTTTTCTTTTCTTGCGTCCAGTCAATCAGTCTGGCTGCGTTTAGCAGCTTGTTGAAACCAAATGACTGCGGAGTGCGACATGTCAGACTAAACACGCTCAGATCCCGCTGAGAGACTCAAAGCTCTTCCCTTCCGAGTCAGACCGAAGATTTCCGGAAACGGACGACCTTTCCTGTTGACCCTGCACAAGTAAAACTAACAGAAAAAAACTACAAAAACAGAGAAAGAAAGGAAAACGCAGCAGATGAAGTTGAAACCAAGCAGAAATTTGTTAAAAAAGTTTAAATGTTGCAATTTTGCTTTTTGAAGCAGGTTTTTAAGTGAATCTCTTAAAAGTATCAAGCTTAGCAGCAGTAAATTGAAAATTAAAATTCAGCTACACTAAGTTCACTAAAAAAATAAAACAGATTTTATTTGTAATGAAATTAATTTTACCCAAATATTACATTTATTAAGTTGACAAATTTTCAATTCGATTACAAACAGCAACTTAAATTGGAGCTCCATTCTGAGTTTTTTTTTCCAGTGTAGATAATTAAAAATTCAAAAAAAAAATAAAACTCTGAAAAGTGTGGCATGCACACACGTCTCCCCGGAATGCAACATTTCAAGGAAACGGAAGGAATCAAAGTTTCTATGGAAGCACTTAACTGCCAGAACTAATTTTTGTTTTAACAAGACTTTAAAATGACTTTATTTCTTATTAAAACTAGATTAAATTCTGAAAGGTTGGAACTGTAAATTAGCAAAACCTATTGGGATTTTTAGATGTTGTTTAAAAGAAACAAGACACGACAGTCTGAAAAACACAAAATCTTACCAAGTATTTTTCATCTAGTTTCTAGTGCAAATATATTAGTACACTTGGAGTTAGGAGTTGTTTACAAGTAACTTTTCAACAATAAATATGAGCTTTTTAAATAAATATATAAATGTTGATTAAAAATGTTCTAGTTTCATTGGCAGATTAATCGGGACAATTTTCCCATGAAATAATTAGCCAGTGGATGTTAGTCAGCCATCAATATTATAATATAATTGACTAAAGTCAAGCTCCTATTTCTTGTTGAAAAGTTACTTAGAAGTAAGTTTAAAGACTCAAAATGAAAAAAGTTTATCTCTCCCTTTATTCTTCACCCTTTTTAATCATACTATAAAATTATATTTTATGATGAGGTTCCTACAGGTTTTTATGTAAAAAAAAAATTAAGTTTTTCAAATATATCTGGATGCAATTTTGCATTTTAAACAACAAATCTCCTAATTAAATTATATATTTCCACTGAGGAAGAGACGGATTGAAACAAGGATTTATATATGGATGGATTAAAACTGAGAAATTTGATGGACAGAAAATATTTTTATGCTCCATCTTTTTTTCAGTATTCATCCACAAAAATACTTTAAACTGGAAAACACATAAACCCAAAATTTCCCAGAGTTTTCCTTCACTTAACTTTCAAACTAACAACCAAGTCGCATTAAAACTTCTTAAACTTCAGTAAATACCAATTGAATCCAATTTAAAAGCAGTAAAGTCTCCCTGGAAGTGAAAGAGAACAATATTTTGGCAAAATATTGTAACTCATACCTCAGAAAATGGTGCCTTGTCTTCAGTTACCATGGCAACGTAGGGTCACCTAGCTAGCTTCCCCACAGCTAGCTCCCCCACCGCTAGCTTCCCCACGGCTAGCTTCCCACAGCTAGCTCCCCCACCGCTAGCTTCCCCACGGCTAGCTTCCCACAGCTAGCTCCCCCACCGCTAGCTTCCCCACGGCTAGCTTCCCACAGCTAGCTCCCCCACGGCTAGCTTCCCACAGCTAGCTCCCCCACGGCTAGCTTCCCACAGCTAGCTCCCCCACGGCTAGCTTCCCACAGCTAGCTCCCCCACCGCTAGCTTCCCACAGCTAGCTCCCCCACCGCTAGCTTCCCCACGGCTAGCTTCCCTACAGCTAGCTCCCCCACGGCTAGCTTCCCACAGCTAGCTCCCCCACGGCTAGCTCCCCCACGGCTAGCTCCCCCACAGCTAGCTCCCCCACGGCTAGCTCCCCCACAGCTAGCGTTAGCGCGGTTAGCTCGATAAGATAAACCAGCGCTTATGTTCCTCACACACACCGGAGGTCGGCCCAGATGTGACCGACCTGACCGACTCCGTCCTCGGGGAGAAACTAGATTAAACTATTTACACGGAATGACTCGGCGTGGGGTTTGAAACGGCGACAGTTTCCACAGCCTCTCCTGTAATCTGTAACCCACGCTTGACCCACTTTCTGAACGTGAGAATCTGGCAAAACAGATACGAGGCTCTGATAAAGGCTTGGATGGCCACAATAAAGATATGATTTAGCTTCTAGTTTGTGGGGAAATCCATGTTTATCGCATTTTTCTGTTACTGACTGTTTACATCATAAAATAAATCCACTCTATTGGAAATCTACCTTGTTTGTCACATTTGTTTAGTTGAAACACAAACTAGTCCACTATTGGAGAGTGGAAGAAAAATTATTCATTTTTATAGGTTCATTTAGTTTTTACCAAACAAGCTTTTGTATTTAGTTTTATTTCCCACTAAATCAAATTGAATTGCATCCAAAAGCTGAGACAAAATGACCGGGTAAAAACATAACACACTGCAAAAACACAGAATCCTACCAAGGGGTTTGTTTAGTCTATTGTACAAATATGTCAGCACAGTTGACTTAAGACAAAATTAACTTACAAATCGCTTCTCATCAAGATATAGGAGCTTGTTTTAAGTCAATAATAACATTGATGATTATTTCACTAATATAAATTGGGGGGAAATGTCTGCCAGTGGAAGCAGCACTTTTTCACCAATAAAACATAAACTGTCCTCATTACATAATCTTGTCTATTCTGATAATAATTCCTGTCATATTTTTTGGTTAAATTAATAAATATTTTTCAGATCTATTACTATGTTTTGCTCTTTGTTGATACAAAATTAAACAGCTTTGCAGGCTGCTTTGCTTGCATATTCAGAAATTGAACTTTCTGATTGGTAACCAAAACTGAAGCATTTTCAGCTGCTGCAGTTCTCTTCCTCACTGCACCAAGTCAAACAGACCAAATACTGTGAAAAACCTGTTCCCTAGACAAATCGATAGATTTGACCTTCTGACGGTTTGTATCTGATTAAAGTACCTCAACATGCAATGTTATTTGTTGCTGCTTTGTCTGCATGTATAAAATGGGGAGAAATACTTCAGCATGCTAACAGTGCTTGGCTGGTCACAGAGACCAACAGCTTGCAAATCCAACTACTTTTTGCAACGGCTGAAAGGTGCAAACACAAGAATGATGCAAACGCCAAAACACAAAAACAAAGGCAACAGAAAAATGCTGCACTTGCAGAAAATAGAAGCAAAAAATAAAATGCCAAAAGTAGCGAAAAGTTTAAACACTGCTAACACAAAACAGAAGTCCTCCTGGCCTCTAGGGGGAGTCTGGATTTAGTGATATTACCAATGTAAATATACTGCTGCTCAAAAATCCTGTTTGAAAAAGACATGAACTTTCTTTTATATGGCATTCTGTCTTATTTCGTGGTGGTCGACTCCCCCTAGTGGTTGGAGGGCTTCTGTTTTGTGGAGCCAGTTTGCAACTTGTTATTTTTGCTATTTGCAACATTTTTCTGTTTGCATTTTACTGTTTCTCTGCAGTTGCAGCATATTTCTTTTTCTTTTTTGAGTGTTTTGGATTTTCATGTCTAGTTTCTTGCGCAAATTCCTTAGTACATTTGAAATTAGACAAAACTGACTTTCAAGTAACTTTTCAGCAAGATTTAAGAGTTTAAGTAAATAGTACCTTAATTTTTATTAACAAGTTTTAGTTTCACTAGCAGATTATTTCTCTTATAACATGAGAAAAATGTCTTGTTATAAGTAAAAATAATCAATCTATTGAAACAATGTTTTTCATAAATAAGAAGCTTATCAATCTCATTCAAAAGTTACTTTTAAGATTCATATCACTTGGTTGGATGATTTTGGATAAATTTAACTTTATGCAAGCAAATATGATTGGAAACAAATTACAGTTTGTGAGGATTAAAATGATGTTTGTCTAATTAGCATGTCATCATCAAGGAGGATGTGAAGCATGTTAAATGAGGCCTTGTGCTCTATTAGAGACATGTTGATGCTGCCTGCAGGCTTTTCCATGAGGGGCAAATACCAGAAATCCAGCATGCAGACCTGAAGAAGAACCTCCAAGCTGCAAAAAACTTCACTTCACTGCAAAATGAAGAACAGTTTCACTCTGCAGGAGTTCCAGTTGCTGCTTTGATGATTTAATTTCACCAAAGAACATGAATGAAGAAGGAAAACTAAGGAACAAAGAGGGAAAGGGAGGTGCGTTTCAAGGAGTGCAATGCAAATGAGGCCGTGCATCCTGGATCCTGTTAGCGGGACAAACTGTTTATACTTGTCATTGCCTGAGGAAAGAAAGAGCGAAGGGAGGGAGATACTTTCAGTTTAGCCCGGAGGACAAACTCTGTTTCTTGTGAAAAATAAATAGGTGCAATGAGAAAGCGATATGTAAGTCAGTCATCAAGTCGGCCGGTAATCTGAGCCTGATCTTGCAAACACGGATGAGCCGCTGGGTCACAAGGTCTTCCCTGTAGATCAGCAAATATGCACCACTTTTGGCGCAAAAGTCATGTATTTTAAATTAGTTTCAGTCAAGATGCACTTTTTAAAGGTTTTAACGTTAAGAACAAAGTTTGTATTTAAACAACCTGAGTCGATGCTCTGCAGAAACACATTTAGTTGCAGTTTCTGCCAGGTTTGAACATTTAGATAATGTGGTTTCTAGTGCAACGATCTTAGTACATTATAAATAAATCATAGAAGTAACATTTTTTGCAAGATATGAGAGCTTCTTTTAAGGCAATGATTCCTTAATATTGATGAAAAAGTTCTAGTTCCATCTGCAGATTATTTCATTTATATCAAGGCATTTTCCCATGTTGTAAGTGAAATAATCTGGAATTATTGACTTAAAACCAGCTAGTTTATTTTGTTGAAAAGTTT